CATGGAATACGTTAGGTTTGGACAAAGGCAAGTTACAGAATATTAATTCGCATGTGTTGATAGTGCAAGGGAGTGTATGGAAGAACACCGTCAATTACATATTCAATGTTAGTACCTCATAAATCTTTTTGTTCTTTCCAAAACAGTGGGCAAGTACAAAATACCCTGTATCTCAATTACAACCACCATTTCAAGTCCAAGATAAACCTGTACTGTTTACATAATAGTATTTTGCTTTGGACAAAATCAAACAATATTAATATGTGCCGAGAGTTTAACATTTTCCCAGGATACAAAAGCAGTTTAACTTTAAGGCCACTTAAACTTAGAGCTACTTGTTCGATATTGAGCACATCAAACCAAAATATCAGTTGCAATGTTTCTCTTATGGTCTCAATGTAATAATTCCATTACAAAAATTTTGATTTATTTCGTTTTGTTTAACCAGGGTAGCCTGCGCATTTGTACTGGCAATTTCATGTATGCTAGGAAGTTGAGAGACTTCAAAGGCACGAGTTTCTGCACACATCTGTGCAAACGGAACACTGACTGTAAAAAATCCCGTAACTGAAAATCTTCTATACGAGTGTTCGAAGAAATAACACTGGCATGCCACCTTTATATTCACTGTTTGAACGATCAACTGAACAAAAATTTTTAAAAAACAAAACCATTCCAGAAGCCACGTGAAAAAAATGCCGTAAGTCACGCAAACATCTCACAAGCAAATTAATGTCAACAGCCATGGAAAAAACAAACAAACAAACACTGCACAACGTATAAGGAAGACAGGCGCTTACTGGAAAGTTTGGCCTTGTAAACAGCATTTGAAAACTCATTTTTTGACAGCGTTTATTTCTGGCTGTCCCAGTCAGGAAAAGCAGAGATTCCCCCGTCCCCCCTATTCATGACAAGCCACTCGTCTGCAGTTTAAGCTCTCCAGTAACAGCGGTGACCCATATCGCTGTATTATGATTCCTCACCCCCTGGAGGATTGGAGGGAAATCCGACTTGGAAATTCAATTTGGAAACATTTCCTGATGCCATCTCTTTACGAGCTGCACCGAGGAGGTACAGCCGGGGAAATGGTTTTGAGCAATGCCCAGACTTGGAAACCCTCTGGGTTTCTGCACTTTCAGGCCGAACAACACTTATTTTCATAACAAACACAAATTTCGGCTGACACCATCCTCCTCATAAGAGTACAAGGAAGGGGTGTTGTAGTTGTGTAATGTGTAACCTGTGATCTGGCAACGTTCTGTAAGGGGGAAAGGATTCCATTTTATCCGAAGGAAATTACAACAGTATCCAAGGACAACGCATAGATCTTCAAAAAATACTTGCAACACTTCACACATTTCATACCAACATACTTTGTCAATCAGAGAAAATGTTATTATTACAAGTGGTTCATTGGGACCAAGAATTTTTCAAACCGATGAATTTTTCACATTTGTTTTGCCACATCAGTCTTGCAAATCATTGGATTCCCATGTAAATTAGGTGAATTTGTTTCCAACTTAATCCCAGGCAATGAGACTTAAAAAAAAAATCTCTCCTCATAATACGTAACCTTGCGCCACCGGGAAAATTAGTCAATGCGTCCATTTCCTCATGGTACAAGACTGACTCTGACTAGTGGCAAAACTATGCGTAAATCATCCTGGCAAATCAGTAGGGACTTTTCTTGGGTGGATCCAATACCCGTGTCCAAGGTTAGATGTTTATCATCACCGGAAACAGAGTTTTGGGATTAATTAGAGCAGCCTGCATTTCTGGCAAATTAGGCTGGCCCAACCGAGTTTCCAGAAAACACTTAGTGCAAGCATGGTTAATACATCACAGTACCACCAAACAGGCTCTACGAGTGGCATCCATAGTGTCCGTGCTACTTTACGTATAAAAAAAATTCACATAGTTATCAGGAACAGCTACTGTAAAATGTGAAACTGAAACAGCCAGCTTACAAATGCGGCAATTATGGAATATTTAGGCTCCGTTCATGCGCAGATGTGAAAGTAATGTAATCTTTCGCACCACTCAACACGCCAGGAAAAGTCTGCCAAAGTTGACATCTGCTGCACTTTTTTCCATATTTATATTAAGGAGAACTTGTGTCATGAAAAATCCACCAAACCATGTCCAAACTTGCTTTCAGACCAAATACAACATGATTCAGCATTTTATCTACATTTCAGAAAGATGACGTGACCTGCTACCATGGAACCCAAAGCAGCACAGAAAAAAAAAATGTCTATAAATAAATCTATAATATATATTGTATGCTGTTAGAATACATTTCGATTTTCATCTCCCAATAGTCGATTTAGAAAATAAATATTTGACTTTTCGATGATCAATCAAATGTTAAATATTCAAATAATAGATACTAGCTGAGGTCACATGATACAACTGAGCAAACTGTCGTGTTCTCTGCGTGGTATGTTGCTTAAAATAGAATTATTTAGAAGTTTTGACAAACCACATTTCATGCAAGCAACATGACACGCCAAAAATTCTAAGTGCTCAAATGTTCTCCAATGCTTGCCTATCAGAAAAATTCCACATGGTACATGGTTTCACACGGTTAATCCTTGAAGCACTTCATACAATTTGGGCAATTGATAAGATGAACGATAAATCAATATCATATCCACGTTGATTTTCATCACAAACTTACCTTCTGTTTTTAATTTTGTCAGCACATAAATCAGATAATTGTTGAAGTCAGGAAACTGGTTCAGTTGTTCAAGTTTCTGGGAAACAAGTTAAAGAAACTCCAACAGAAATTGTAAATTTCAGAGCATCCATTGTGAAAGTGAAACTCGCTTAAAAAAAAATAAACAATCCAGTGACTTTCCTTTTTTTACAGAAGTCATTTCAGACTTAACTAAGCCTTTTTTTCTCTATTTTCTCGTCTGACAAATTGAGTCAGTATAGTTTAACCTATCATGCACATACATTTACATATTGGCCTGACCTAACAAATTAGTTACAAGTCGCCTCAGCAACTTCTGAGTAAAAGGTCTTCTAGGAGAATTCTACAGCAAGTAAATTAATGAAAATCCTCAACGGTTTCCGCATATTTTCACCGGGCTGCCAAAATGGGTAATACGTGACAACAAACAATAACATGCTCTTTCCAGCGCAAATTTAAACAGAAGTTTTCAGAAAAAATATGACATAAGGAAACGCATACTGTGAGATCTTGTCACAATAATGATTGGTCGAGAAAGTTGCGGTTACCACTGGAAATAACCTGCACACCCGTGAAAAGCACTGCCTATCCGGGCTTCTCAGCATCATGCAAAACAATCACTCAAGAAACCAACAGCACGTTAATGAGGCAGCTATGGGCCCTGGACTATTATTGAGCTGATGTCTCATGAACTGCACATGACAGAAAGAAGCGACTGCGACTGAGGTAGATATTTGTGTCTCATATGTTTGCAATCTTCACAGTAGCATCACCTGACAAAAAGTGATTTCCTTGCTGCTCCCTTTCCATTTGTTTCATCCCATCAGACACGAGGAAAGAAAACATCATAGCCATTCCTCTGCGTTCCATACCTTTGTCATTTGGGTAATTCCCCATAGTAAGTTGATTCATACACACGGCCATTAAAGTCAGGTCGTATCTTGTGGAACGAGGCCTACCTTACCGCAACGGTCGACCTGTATTGACCTGGCACATCAGGTTAATCTGCCCAGATTAGCCCAGACTACAGCCAGTCTCCTGGACTACCTCCACAGCCTTGGCCCCACACCTACAGGCCCAAAAAAACTGGACAGGCCCATTTTTTCTGCAAAGCACTATAAGTGCCTGGCATATTACTCATACGGCTTCACCTACACAAGTCTTTTATTAATTAATACGCCAAAGCTGCAATGCCCCGATTTTCAGTTTCAGGAAATTTCAGTCTCTAAATTGTCATATCCACTCTGTCTTTCATTACTCCAGTAATTAGCTCCTAATCACTGCGCTCTCTAAAGACGCATGCATCCCGAGTGTTTTCTGATTTTGAAAAACAGTAGCAGTGTACATACATGATATACAGCAGTACTCCATACATGCTCCATACTCAATACAAACATGCACCGCTGTTTCTTCCGAGGCATATGGTCAGTCAACTCAACATGGCTGATGCAGCCACACATGTATAGAGGGCATTTATTGTGAGCTACAATGATCACGAGTGCCTCTGCGTAACAAAAATTTCCAGAAGAGCAAAAAAGAAAAATAAAACCACTAGGGAATTAGAGTTTTGACATAACTGTAATAAGAAAGAGCTTGGGTAAGATTACATCCATACATGTGGTGGCAAAAGACACTGCCATCCAGTCTGCTGTACTTTGGCCATGGGCTCAAACATCAGTTTCTGAGGTGAGATTCTTAAAAAAAATATCTGATTCTTCAAAAATGTAGTAAGTTCACAAACATATTCAGAGCTTTCACAAGTAGCTTTCCGTGAATGTCCCTTGGCAAGAGGTCATTTACAAACCGTCATTTACAAAACTGGAGCTTGAACGTGTCAAAACATCAAAACAAATCTCCTGATATTTCTCCATGGTTTATCAGTATTTCTGAATGGTTATGCATTGTACCCTGAATATTCACATGCAAAACAGCTTCAACATCACCTGTATACAATAGTCAAATACACATTGAACTCGTCGACAAGAGCGTTTCAAATTTGAAGGGGAAATTTCTCTTTTCTTCCCACATATGAGTAAACTGTATTGTTATTATTGGAATCTCCAATTCTCACTCGATCCATAGACGGGTGCATTAGACATATTAAGGACAGTTTTAGAGGTGAATTCGGAGGATTTTGACTCGGGATACAAGCTATTTTGAGTGAAAAGAATTAATGGAAGCAAAAGCCTACAAAAGGTACCTGGACCCTACTCTCGCCCGACCATGTCCAAATGTTAAAAAAAGGCAATTTAGGCCCAAAAAAAAAAGACCCCGGTTTCAGGTCATGGGCTTTGTCCAAAATGGTGTGGTGACGCGTTTTTTCCCCTTAGAAGTGATGTACATGCATATATACTTTAGAGCGCATGGCTTTGTTACTACAAGAAGTGTGAATTAACAACTTTGAATTAATAAAGACCATAAAATATGACAAGAGGCAATGGTTTCAGTCATCTCACTCAAACAAAATGCTTCTATTCTTGGCAAGATTGAGCTTTTCTCCTCTTTCGATTCATGCAAGTTTCATTTCCATATTTGCTTTACTTTCGGAAATATTCACAAAAGAAAGTACAAGTTTTTGTTCAATTAAAATACAGTAAAACTGCACAACCATGGAAAAATCATCTGTGAAAAATGAACGTTCAGCTCCAGTTTCCAGTTTTAAATGAAATTTTCATGAAGTAGCAGCATTTGACATTCTTTGCACATTGTTTTCCTAAGCTTAGAGTTGCACGTCAAATAGCCTATAAAAAATAAATGAAAACAGTTCAGCTCCCGAGTCAAAATGAAAATAAAATTCTCATGAGGTAAATGATATACTGTGCACATTGTTTTCTGTTTTAGCTTATAAGAAACAAGCTGCATTTAACATATTGGGGGAAAAATTCAGCTCAGAAAATAAAATCTCCTCTCACTCTAATCTACCTTTGTTCTTGGCAAGTGACGATCAACGATGCACGAGTTGGTACATGTATGGTTGTCATAACGCGATGCATGTCCATCGCCACTGCATGCACTGCATATGTATGCATGTATGTATACCGCCACTGCCTACCATGCCTACCGACACTGAAATAGACTGGCCCCTCATGGTTTGTTGTTCAAAAGCGTTTTCAATTTGTATACTTAGGCAGGATGCAAGACCACTTCGTTCGTCTGGTTCACAGACGTATGTGGGCCCAGGCCCGAATCAATTGGCTGCGGCCGGAAATTACACCGAATATTTGGCAGCATCCACGGCTAGTTTCCATAGAATCATACATGATATCAAGCCGCAGCCAACCAGCCGCAGACACCGCCTTTGTGTAAAGATACATGAATGATGTCATCTGATAAGAGTGCCCAACTAAAATGTGTGAAGGCCTAGGGGGATTCCTTTACTATACATGTTCTCAATCCCACCATCAAAAACGTGTTAAAATTATGCGGCAGCCGCTTAAGTAAGTTTGGCGGCTTTTGGCATGTTTGGGAATCGTTTTATGCAAAATAAAAAAATTCTTTACTTTGTCAATGCGCAGGTCTACAGCGACACACACGGTGACCAAAAACCAGCGAATTTGGGGGGGGGCTTAGTGTCCAAGTTACTTGGACTAAGGTAGGCCTAACATTATGTCCAGGGCAACCTGGACATAAAGTTTTAAAAAAAACGGAAAGGTCAAGAATCATGTTCGTGTGCAAAAGAAATTGCACCCACAATGATAAGTGGGTGCGCCGAAAATGTTCAGTACGCCGACACGAAATTGCGCATACGGATGTATGGCGAAGGGTGGATCGGGAGTGAGAGTCCATGCCATACTAGTGGGGCTAACCCCTAGCCTACTAGTACTACTACTAGCACTCCACAGTAGAGCTACGCCTACATCACCAAACAGGCCAAACATAAATGATAGGCATTCCAAAACAACTTATTAGAAAGCCAAACAGCAAAGATTAATAATGTTGAGCGCAATTTAAAGATGTGAAAGTTAAAAACGCATTGATGATAGACCTACAATATCCACACGCTATTCGGTGGACATCCAGTTCCACCATGTTCACTGACATTAAGCTGTACGCATACAACACCTGAACTCGTTCAACACGTGTATCATCATCACGCCATGCGTGTGGCGATACATTTCTTGTCACCTCAAAAGACCCCCAAAATAGGCGTCAAAGGTTTCCTCCAAACTCTACAAAAATAACGCCACTATAAGAAAAGGATACTTGTTGAACAGCTCGTTGAATTTCTGTGTCTGGGCTTTGAGATTCTTTCAGGAGTTGTAAAATTTGCGACAGTCCGGCTTGTTGAGGTTGCCACGCCATTTTTCGCCATTTAATTGAAGAATCTTGCAACCGGTTTTCGATGGTTCCCGCACCCAACCGGCACAACGGTATTCCTCTTTCACATCAAACGTTTCTTACATTGTGAAAGCTATTGATGGGTACCAGCGAATCATAAAGCACGCACGGCGCTGGCGCTGTGCGAACGTGCATATTACGCGCGCAATAATGAAGATCAAAGATATAATAAATTCGCAAAAGTAATCGATAATGCAAAATACATGTGATTTTTCCCCGTCATATCTAGATTAGAGGTTGTCAGATATATTATTTTGACATTTCACTCCTTTCATTAAAACGCAATTTCAGTAACGGTACGAAAAATACAATTGTTTAAGAATTCTATTTGATAATTAATTATTTTATTTATTGTTAAAATAATCAATAAATGATTTAAATTCACATATGTATTATTCAAAATTCTGGTTCAATATGTGCACGGCTAACAAAAATGCATTGTGTGTTCTACACCTGAAACAGCTAACGATATGAGGACGCAACATTTTATAAACACAAAAACGAAAATGGCATTTGTGAGCGCGTTAATTATATAGACTCACAATGAGTATCAAACGAGCCAACTTAACCTATTTCTTTCTAATTCAAAACAAATGACAGATCTGTGTTTAGTCTTAGTAAAATAAATCAGGGTCCATTTGGGGGCTGGTAAATACGGTAGGTTCTGCCCAGATGAAAAGGTCCCTTAATGGGGGCGGGGTTTTGAGATTGAGATGGAATTCAAAGATTGGAACACGGCTGAATATCTCGGAGGTATTTAAGTTGCCGAAAACAAGTATTTGTAAAATTATCTCTTCTTATGTGTAGGGCAACTTTCCCGTCAAGAAATAAATAAAACCTTGGCTATCTTTAACACTTTCAATTTCAATGTGATTTTTAAAAAGTTTTAACTTTTTCTTGAAAGAAATGTTTATGCTTTTTAAAACACCCAGTCATTGAAGTAATGAATGTTATTTGTTTCAGGTTGAAAGTGTTCCTTTCGCCTAGAAGTGGACATACAATCGGAAATAATGCGCCTAAACGTTATTTTTCTAGCACTCAGTTTTGTGTCAGTCTGATTGTGCCTCACTTTTAAGAAATGGAAACCCCTGACTCCGAATTCGTTAGCTGAAATAATAAGTCATAAATTGCCACTGAAAAACAAACAAGATTTACATACTTAGATAGATCCACACATTGAAGTGGTTCTATTAAATTTGAACGGGGGGGGGCTACACTAGGCCTAGTAAGCATAAGGGTCCAGTCCACTAATTCAAGCCCCATTGAAAACAG